CACGCACGGGTCTGCCCCTTCGGTGCCTGTGCAGCTGTCCGAGGGGCTGTTCCGCTCGGCACGGAGGGGAGGCCGGATCCCGGGATCCTGGCCGTAAACGAGCCCCCGTCTTTGCCGTACCCCAGGGGCCTCTGTCCGCCAGGTCGACATGCGCCGGCTGACGCGCGGGGTGCTGCACACCAAGTTCTGGATTGTGGACGAGACCCACGTCTATCTGGGCAGCGCCAACATGGACTGGCGCTCCCTCACCCAGGTAAGGCCCTTCCCGGGGGCTTTCGCCTCACGGGCGCCGCACGCTTGCTCTTCCCTGCACCCCGCCCGGCTGTTAGGCGTTGGTGGTAGGGCAAGCAGAGCGGGTGTCCCTTACGGCCGGGACGCCCCAGTTCTGCTACGGCCCACAGCCCAGAAGTCAACGGCAGGAGTCCAGCTGCATGGGCCTCGCTGCAGACCCAGGGTGTTGGTCTCTGACATCCAGGATTGTTCATGGCCAGGGCTGGGGGGCACGGGAATGCCGGGGGCTGCCCAGGAAAGTCAAAGCATCGGCAGAGCAAAGAGCATGGGGCCCCTGGCAAGGCCTTCAGTGTATCCCCCCCCTCCCCGGCCAGGTTTGACTCGGACCCTTTGGGGCGCCCGGGTGTTGTGATGCCCACGTAAGAACCTCGGCACACCCTAAATGAATTCTTTGCTTCGGTCTTCACGGCTGAGGCTGTGAGGGAGATTCCCGGACCGGAGCTGTTCTTTGTAGGTGACAGATCTGAGGAATTGTCCCAGATTGCGGTGGTATTAGAGGAGGTTTGGGAACAAATGGATTAACTGGACAGTAACACGTCCCCGGGACCAGACGGCATTCACCCGAGAGTTCTGAAAGAGCTCACGTGTGAAATTGCAGAACCATTAATCGTGGTTTGTGACCCATCCTTTAAACCAGCTTCTGTACCGATGACTGGGAAATAGCTAACGTGATGTGATGCCAGTCTTTACAAAGGGCTCCCGAGGTGATCCTGGCAATTACAGATGGGGAAATCTAACGCTAGTATCAGGCAAATTAGTTCTTATGTTATGTAGCGAGATTAGCTGGGGAGAAGGGGCAGAAGGAGCCCCCAACAGACTGGAACCCTCCAGCCAAAGAAACGGCCAGCTGCACCGCGTTCTCTGCTGCTTGCCCGCAGGTGAAGGAGCTGGGTGCGGCTGTCTACAACTGCAGCTGCTTGGCCAAGGACTTGGGGAAGATGTTTGAAGCCTATTGGGTTCTCGGGGTGCCGGACGCCTCCATCCCGTCGCCCTGGCCGGCCAATTACTCCACCCCGTACAACAAGGAGACGCCGCTGGAGGTGCAGCTGAACGGGACGGACGCCAGGGTGTACCTTTCCGTAAGTGGGGAACCCTCCACCGCTCCTCCCCCTGGGTTTCGAGTCGGCTTGGCCCCCGCCGAACGGTTCGTTGGTCCGGTTCTTTGCCTTGCCTCCCGCAATGCTCCTGCCCAGCCAGGCAGCGCTGCACGTGGAGAGAGACATTCCTGCAGCCGTCAGCTTTCCCCTCTCTGCCATGCCCAGAGCGCCCCGCCAGCCCTGTGTGCCGCGGGCAGCGTCATCGACGCCGCCAGCGAGTTCGTGCACATCGCCGTCATGAGCTACCTGCCCACCATGGAGTTCTCGCACCCCCGGAGGTAAAGCCCCGGCAGCGCTTTGGGCTGTAGCTCTCCGGACGAGCCCGCGCCGGGTGTGCCACGGTGGGGAGGGAAGCCACGGGCAGCAGCAGGCTTGGGGTGGGAGCAGAATTCAGTAACCAGGGCAGGGCTGGGATCCTGCACTCCTCAGGCTCCTCCCAACTTTGGTCTCCTCTTGGGCTCCTGCGTCTGCATCTGATCAGCTCTTGGCCTCTTCCGCGCCGCGCCCGCTGCTGGGAACAGCCTGGGTAAACCCCATGGCCCCGTCGGCCGCAGGACTTGTGCTTTGGGGAGCTGTGACAGCGCGTCGGGGTTCCCCCGATCCTGCACCCCCGTAGCAGCCAGAACAGACTCCGCCAGCCAGTAGAACAGGGAGGATGTATTGTTTCTCCAGGATACAGCCCAGCATACACATGATGGTTACAGGAGTCAGGGCCCGGATGCCTCAGACCCCTTGGGCTAGAGGGTCCATCGCCCCCTCAACCCTCAGCACCCAGCTTAGCCTGTTCCCTTCATGTTTCCCAGCCAGAAACTACCCAGATGCTTCCCCTAGCTAAGACTGACCAGCTCCCAGGCTCTGCCCCCCAGCCAAGTGGGGTCTCCCCCTCCCTTCCTTTGTCTCTTCCCCCTGGGAAGACCCTTGTTATCTGCTCAGGCCGGGAGTAGGTGTCTGGGCCAATCCACATGTGGGTGAGTCGGTGGGAATCACATCTCACAGCGCAGGGGAACCCCAGCTTACAGAGCAGGCAGCCCCCCCACTACGTCACAGGGGCCCAAACCGAGCCGCCCTAAAGGGCCCCCCAAAACCACACGTTCCTTCCGAAAGCTCAGGCCAGCACATTAAAAAGGTGATTTTGAAAGGACCGGAGGGGTCGCTCGGAGCTCAGCGAGGCAGGGGGCCGGCGCTGTTTGTTTCCCCAGGTACTGGCCAACCGTCGACGATCATCTGCGGAAAGCCGCCTACGAGCGGCACGTCCACGTTCGGCTGCCGGTCGGCTGGCGGGC